CTGATCTTTTCCAGGTGCTGTTTGTTTTGTTTTCCTGAGTACTCGATTTAGTTCTGCTTTTTGAAAGGGTTCGTTCAATAAATTATCAGTTTCTTCCATATTTTCCATTAAATCTTTGTATTTTAACTTTGTTGTTTCCCTCCCTCTCTTTCCTTCATTACTAATATTATTGGAACTATGAATTTTACTGAATGTTGTTGCTAGTATTTCAGCTTTTTCTTTATTATTTACCATTTCTGTGCCATCTACTTTTAATACTGGATATCCATATTCTTTTTTGATCCCATTCATTCTTTTTATCATTTTCCAGATTTTTTCAATTTTTGTTTCTTTTCCTATAGTATTACAAAAGTTTCTCCAATATTCCCTTTTTGCATTCTTTACTATTTTTCTTACCATTGCTTGTTTTCTTTTATATTCAATGAAGTTCTGATAATTATGATTTGTTTTTAATGTTTTAAATGCTTTATTTCTTGTCTTTATGGCTTTGTTACATTCATTTGTCCACCAAGGTACGATCTTCTTTTCGCTCGTTCTTCCACCTTTTTTTATTGAATGTTCTGTAGCTTCCTGTATAACCTTGCTTATACCAACATTTATACTATTACTATCCATTGAAAGATCTATTTGTTGTAGCTCTTTATCAGTAAGATATTTGAATTTATTCCAGTCTGCTTTATTAAATAGTAACTTTCTATTTCCTTCTACTTTGTTATTTTCTGGTTTTATGCCTATTGAAATTTTGATAGGATAATGATCACTACCCATTACTGTGCTTTTATCAATATCCCACATACAAACACCAGCCAATGAATTTGACACAAATGTAAGATCGATTGCTGATTCTGCTCCTGTTCTAACATTTACTCTTGTTCCCCTCCCATCATTAATACATACAAGGTTTTTATTTTCTATTACTTCTTCCATTATTTGTCCATTTTTATCATTACTTTTCCCCCAAAAAGTACTATGTGCATTAAAGTCCCCACACCACACCACTTTCCCATCCACATATTCTAATACCTCCTCCATCACTTCAAGTGACAGTGCCTTGCATGGGTTATAGAAATTTATGATCTTATACTTTCCTTCATCTCCCCATATTTCTACTATTATGTATTCTAATTCTGTTCCTTTTTTTAATATTTGATATTGAATTCCTTGTTTTATGAATGTTCCACATCCTCCTCCATTTCCTTCCTGTCTATCTCTTCTTATGCAATTATATCCTTTGATGACGAACTCCAAATTTGATTTTAACCATGTCTCTTGTATGCATATGATTTCTGGTTTATTATCAAATCCATCTATATATGCTTTAAATTCTTGCCCATTTGCTAATAAACTTCGTGCGTTCCATTGTAGTATTATCATATGTTTTTGTCATTGAGGTTTCCTGACTTCCCTTCTGTTTCCAGTCTTTTGTTTATATTTTCCCATGACATCTCTTTAAATCCCAAGAATTTTTCAGCGCCTCTCACAATTATTTTAATCTTCTCTGTCTTGTGTTTAACCTGATCAGTACAATTGATAACGTATGCCATAAATAGAATAAGTTTCTCCGTTGACATTGAAATGTTTTCTTCTGGTTGATTATTTTGTTGTGGGGTTTGATTCTTTATTTGAGCTGTTTCTCTTGTTTTTGGTCCTTGCACATTCTTGACTGCTTCAGCATAGCTTATGTTTTTGGTTATCTTAATCTGTTGGATTTGTACGGCCCTCTTCCTCACCTCACATCCGCCATAATTGACTCTGTGCTGTCCCCCACAGTTGCAACACTTTTCTTGAGCTTCTTCCCTACATTCTTCATATCTGTGTTCCTCTCCACACTTGGGACACCTCTGCTTCCCTCTACACACCGCCGCCACATGTCCATAACGCTGGCACTTGTAGCAGCGGAGTGGAGGAGGAATAAAAGGCCTGACTGGAAAGCTCATGTATCCTATTTTGATTTTTTCCGGTAACACATCATCTGCAAACTCTAATAAGACGGACATGCTTGCCACTCTTTCTCCATTGACTGTTTTTAACATTCTTTTTATATTTGTAACCTGTGCTCCTGCAATGCTTCGTTTTATTTTTTCCAAATCCTCATCAGTTGGTATACCTGTAATCACTCCCTTAAAAGTTTTGTTCTCTCCTACCACCATTCTTTCTGTTATTGTCTTTTTGCAAATGTTTTCAATTTTTAATGCTTTATTTTTTTGCTCCTCTGTTTTACAAATTATCATTAGGTTTCCATCTCTCAGTATTTTAGCCATTTCTACCTCTCCAATTTTCTTTTTTATTTCTTTTGATAGAAAAATAGGGCTAATGTTTCCCTGTTCATCCTCTTTGTTGAATCTTAATATTATCTTGACTTCCTCCCTCACCATTTTCCTACGAGTCACTCTATCCTCATCTGAACTATTCGCTTCTAATCCTCTTTTATTTCCTTGGCTTTCAGACACTGCCCTGCCCTCCATCTTGCCTCTGTCACCTTCCTTACCTTTCCCTCTCCCACCTCTGACTGGTGTCCACTCCTCAACATTCATGTCATCCTCTGAATCTCCTACCTGATGCGCCATTTCGATCCATTCACACACCAGTTTATGCCAAACCTCCAAAGGATGTTCTGGTAACGTTTTCTGATTTGTTTGTTGAAAAACGCAGCTCCCTCCTCACACACCTGTTCCTCTGCCGCGCCTTAACTCACTCAACTTCCCCTAATGCGCTGTCTTTCATCACCTGTCTCTTTTCTTGGTCCATGGACTGTGGAACTCAAAAGACACAGCTGAGCCGCACCTGTTCGTACCCAGTTAGAGCTGGGTGGAGAGACACAGCTGAGCTGCACGTTGTTTGTTTTTAGCTTTTTAGCTAGTTAGTATTGTGTGCAGCTAATTAGCGTTACACCAGTACCGACAAGTTGAAGGGGGGGGGGGGGGGGGGGCAGTTCGGTTCGGTAGTTTGGCACGCTCGGTTCTATTGACGGGGTGGGGCGCCCCACTTGTATAATGGTAGGGGAAACACTGACATATTTACGTCATGAAATTAGCATATCATTATATAATTTATTTTCCTGGGCAAGATTTTTTTTTACGGGTATTATCATGAATGATATGTATGGCCCAGCCATACCTCCAACTCTAATGTTAAAAATCTTAGTGTTATTTTTGATCAGGTCATTTCTTTTATCCCCCACATTATAAATATTACTACCACCTTCTTCCACCTTTGTAATTTCTCTAAAAAGACACTGTAGAAACATCTTATCTAAAAATGATGCAGAAAAACTGGTTCATGCATTTGTCACGTCTAGACTGGACTATTGCAATCGTTTGTTATCTAGATGGCCAAATACTTCTTTAAAAAGTCATCAATTAATCAAAAATGCTGCTGCCAGAGTCTTAACTGGAGTTAGTAACAGAGATCATATTTCTCCAGTTTTAGTTTCTTTCCAATGGCTTCCTGTCAAATCCAGAATTGAATTCAAAATCTATATTCTAACCTACAAAGCCCTCAACAACCTAGCGCCATCTTATATTCGAAATCTTATTGTTCCATATTTTCCTCACACTTTGACAAATATCAGACCTTTCACCTGGACATAAGGTGAGGATGTGTCATGCTGCTCGTTCTGTGCTGGTTCCTTACAGACATGTGACAGCTCTACTATGACAAGGTGCTGCTTATAAGATTGAGTTTATTGCAGCTCCTCAGAATGATGAAGTCTTTTGGATAAAAGACAAAACGTTTCAACAAAAAAGAATCCGTCCAGAGGACCTGACTCCACCTTGTTAGGTACCACGTTTTTGTTTATGTCTTTATGTCAATATTAATTCGTCTCTTGACGTTGTGTGTGAGCAGAGAACAACTTGATGATAGGCATCATCTGCTGCAATGCTGCGGCTCTGTAACACAACTAATAAAGCTGCATTTGAACAATGACAGGAAGTTGTTTAGTTTGTGTGTCCATGTTGTGTGTTCTTTATTTCTTTATTATTTGTGCATCATCCATCACTGCGCTGGCTCCCCATGCACGTGTCTCTATCACACCACCCAGGCCTCTCGTCATGACCCCACACAATCCAGTGCTTCAAGGAGAGAATCAGGTGAGGTGATAGGCCAGGGGTCCAAATCCAGGGTCAAAGGTCAGGGTTAGCAGTTAACTTTTGGGTCAAAGGTCAACGTGTTAGGCTTAGCAGGCAAGGCTTTAGGGTCAAAGGTCAGGTTTATGGCAGGGGGTTCTGGGTTATGTTTAGGGTCAGGGTTTGGTTTAGGGTCAAAGGTCAGGTGTATGGCAGGGAGTTCTGAGTTAAGTTTAGGGTCATGGTTTACATTTAGGTTCAAGGTCATCACAGTCTCCAAAGGAAACTAAAACCAGGAAATAAAAACATCAGTTTCACTCAACGCTCTGGGTTTGGTGTGTCCAAGTTGTTAATCCAGATCCTCTCAGCTCTCTCTGAGCCACAGATGACATGGGACTGGCCTGCAGCACTGTGGCCCTTACTGCACCCCACCCATGTAGCATCAAATGCTGGACCAGAGGAGTGTGTGTCCCTTTTTTTCCTCTGAATCTTGTACCTAAGTGTGTGAGTCTGGTCAGCATGGTGCTGCTGGTCTCGCCCACATACTGTGAGCCGCACTGCTCACATGTGATCAGATACAGTTTTTTGATTTTGGGTTGCCCGTACGTTCAGTGTACTGTAGAAAGAGCACAGGTGGGGCCACAACAGTTGGTCTGGTCTGCAGGAATGTTTTCACTTTCCCAGGAAAGACCTTGAGTCCCCTCTTGTGGACCAAGATGAAAACAGCACCTCTGTTGCAGCTTTTAAAGTCAGATTGTTGTGTGCACATTCTATGAAATCTCACTAGCTGTGACTTTATTAATCCAACAAATGTGTGTTTTAGGTTGTCTGTCTTTATGTTATAATGCATGGTCAGTTTTCTTAAAGAAGACTTTAACATCCAATCTGTGACATTTTTTAATTTGTGGGCCTTTATAAGTATTTGTGTCCAAGAAATCAATCATTTGTCATCCACGGATAAACAAGACCCTGGTGGTGTTGAGGGCCCAGTTCTGGTGGAGGGACTTGGCCAAGGACGTTAAGGAGTACATCTCCTCCAGCCTCCAGTGCACCCAGGCCAAGACCTCACCACGACCTCCTGCTGACCTCTTGCACCCTCTTCCCATCCCCTCACAGCCCTGGTCACAAATTGCCATGGACTTACTTTATTACCCGGCTTCCCCCATCTTCAGGTAACACAGTCATTCTCACCATCGTTGATTGTTTCTCCAAAATGGTTCATCTTGTCCCTCTTAAAAAGCTCCCATCTGTCAAAGAACTGGGGGAGGTCCTCGTCCAAGAGGTGTTTTGCCTTCATGGCCTCCTTGGGGACATGTCTTGGATTGGGGCCCCCAATTCATTTCTCATTTTTGAAGGGAGTCCTGGGCATCTCAGCCAGCCTCTCATCAGGCTTCCACCCACAGACTGATGGGCAGAGGGCCAACCAGGAGATTGAAACCAAACTACATCTCCTGTGTGAGGATGACCTTACCAAGTGGTCTGCTAACCTGCCCTGGGTGGATCATATACTCAACTCCCTGCCATAAACTGCCTCTGGTCTATCACTCTTTTACACCGTTTATGGTTTCTAACCACCGATGTTCACCATCCGGGGGGAGGCTGCTGAAGTCCCATATGCCCATAGAGGAGCTCTCAGGTGTCCACGGGTCTGGAAGAGAACCAGGAAGGCCCTCATCAAGATGTCATCTGTGTATTCTTGATGTGCCAACTGATGTCGCTCGCCTAACCCACCCTACCAAGTGGGACAGAAGGTCTGGCTGTCTACTAAGGACCTTCCCCTCCATGTGGAGAGCCACAAGTCACCACCACCACTTCGTGGGCTCCTTTCCCTATTCTAAGTTGGTGAACCTTAGGTGGCTGTTTATCTTCAACTCCCTCACATTCTAAAAATCCACCCCACGTTTCATGTATCACGAGTCAAGCCTCTGGTGTCATCACTTTGTCTCCACTTTGTGTGTTGATTCTTTTTTAGTGCAAACAATAAAATAACAAAAACTAAATAAGTCATTTAACCAATTTCTCGTCTAAAGTCTGTTGTTTAAAGAAACACTACATTTCCCATAAGCACCTCAACAGGAAATACGTCATCGTCGTTTTGAAAAAGCATTCTGGGTAATACGCTCTCTCTTTCCGGCCGGTTCGCCATCATGTAAGCGACAATTACAGACTTCTGGGGTGAAAACAATCCGTGAAAATCATTCTTTATACAGTTTCATCTACCAGTCAGAATTAGCGAACGACTTCAGGACTTATTTACTGTCTCTGTTATCTGACTATTTGTTGATAAAAAGTAAATTAGCAACTACAGCCATGTTTCAACGGGACAGACGCTACCAGTCCGCTAGCTTACAGCGGTGCTAGTAGTTGTAGAGCTGAATGTGCATTCTGTACCGCGTTTTATGTTCACATTCATAGTTTAGTTTTACTTATTTGTTTTGTAAGGGTGCAGTTGTGTTGTATCGTATTTTATGAACGTTTGGAAGTAATGCTACGCAGCTAACTAGCACGCAAAGCTAAATGTGTATAAAGTAATTATAATGGAGCCTCTACGTTCAAGCTGCTCTCCTGGTTCTTTGTTAGATCTTGTTTTATTTTCAGAGGGAGACTGTTAATATTCACAATGAATGAAAGGGCAGATGGGTTTGAATGAAATGCTAAAAGAAATGAAATGTACTTGTTCGATAACTGATTTCTCCAAGTATGGTTCATGCAAAGCCTTGTATTTACACAATACTATGAGTTGCAACAAGTTTTAATAACTTTCAAAATCTCACGAAAGCACTAGAAGGTAAATAACAGTTTAGAAAATAAAAATGGAGCATTCTGGCCTAAAGCACATGTGCAAGTGAGGAAGAACCTTGGAACAGTTTTTATTTCAGTAAAATGTACAGTATGCTTCAAGTAAAGTGCTTTAATGAGAATAATCTGGCGTTTCCAACTAAATATTTTAAATATGTGATGAAATTGTAATTCAGAGACACACAAATTTACTTTCTCTGTTGTGACGGGTTAAATTTCATGGAATATGTGTTGCTCTGAAGTTAATCGAACTGTGTTTTTCTGTCTGGATTTCTGAGCTGCAGAATGAATTAACAAATGTTCCTGTTTTTTGGTTTAGTCAACATGGGAGCATATAAGTATATGCAGGAGTTGTGGCGCAAGAAGCAGTCCGATGTGATGCGCTTCTTGCTTCGCGTCCGTTGCTGGCAGTACCGTCAGCTGTCTAACCTCCACCGTGCTCCAAGGCCCACCAGGCCCGACAAGGCTCGCAGACTGGGCTACAAAGCCAAGCAGGGTGAGCGGCTGTTTCCAGACTTCATGTTTTGTTCATGTTTTGTTCAGGAAGTGCCATTGATGCCATTCTTCACGTTTTATTTTGCTTCCTACAGGCTATGTTATCTACCGTGTTCGTGTGCGCAGAGGAGGCCGTAAACGCCCCGTTCCCAAGGGTGCCACCTATGGCAAACCAGTAAACCATGGTGTGAACCAGCTCAAGTTTGCCCGCAGTTTGCAGTCGACTGCTGAGGTTTGTTTCTTCACTTTAAGCTTCAGCAGCAGAAGCTGCAGAGTTGGTGCCTCAGCTGGGGCGTTAAATTTGGTTATGCTCTTTAACCAAACTAGCTGCGTAGCATACTACATTTCTTAAAGAAATGTAAAAGGTGACACAATTCATTGGATATTTTTATGTAAAAGTACACAAATTATGATTAGTGCTGATTGCAATTAAAGGGATAGTCTGACCCTTTATGAAGTGATGTTCTGTCAAGTAGTTGTAGTGAGTAAAGTATCAGTCACAGAATTCAAAGCAGTCTGTTTCTCAGATAAATGTTAACTTGTTTTTTTATGTACGTCAGTGTTTCTGTTCAGTGTCCTGAGATGACTTCTGTTGGGACTTGGTGATGTATAAACTGAATTTAGCTTGGAAAAGCAGATTTCATCCATGCTAAGCTAATATGGAGAAAGTGTATTTGGGGGTTCTAATAACTAAATTAGTCTTTTGTGATGCACTTGACGTTTGCACATGCACCAGAGAGCACTCTTGGCAACAAGTGAAGCGCCAACGATTTTTAGAGTACCTGTTAACTAAAATATATGATGGCTGAAGCTTTAAGTTAAGTTTTGTTTGAGGGCAATAAAAATTAATGTTGAGCTTTAAAATTGTTGATCTTACACTGCAGACACTTCTTTTAGAAAACTTCATTCATTCAAGCTTTATTTATAAATGTTAGTGTAAATGTAAAAATAATATAAATGTAAAATAGTAAAAATAACTACATAACTTCATTCCACCACATATATGACAAAGAAACTTTGACGTTTGACTTTAGTCTCATTGAGCCTAGAGGACTCATTTACAAGAGACTTGATTTTAACAAAGAATGATAACAGACAATCATAAAAATTATACACATTGAGAAAAAGAAAATGGTATTAAAAAAAAAAACTAGATTATAAAGCGATGTAGAAAACTAAAAACAGGAAAATGTCTGCATTGGTTTTTGCCAGGAACTTAACAGATGTTTGAAGCCAAAGGTCGAGCGCTTCAGAGGTTTTTGTAAGATATACCAGGAAACGGGTTTGGAGTAGGAGAAGGCCCTTTTTCCTAGTTCAGTCCTCACTGAGGGAGCACTGCAGGTAACAATGTCCTGAGAGCGCACGCCTAGCTGCATTCGTGCAGTGACATGTAGTCAAGTCAGATTTATTTATATGGCACATTTAAAACAGAAACTGTTACCAAAGTACTCATGTACGAAGAGATGATGTATGAAGGCAGCAGACCAAGAAGTGATTTAAAGATGAAAACGTACCAGTGAGAGTCTGTGCGAAGTTAATGATGTCCAGTTAACCAGTGGTTTCACCAATTCAAAAAATAACTACCAGTATGTTCAAATCCAAAATCCTTGTAGTTTTTGTAAATCTTAAGTCCATCCAATGTAATTATGTTACAGAGATTAAATTAACGCTGCTTTGAACAAACAAAAAGGACCAGGCCCATTTTTACCCCGTAAGGCTTTGGGCAAAACTGAGTTTCGCAGTACAGTAGTCCCTCGTTTATTGCTGGGGTTCTGCAACCCACCCCAGCGATAAGTGAAAAACCACAAAGTAGGGATACAGTAGTTTAAGTAAACTTTATTGTCATTACATCTCATGTGGTACCGTCTCTTGGGGTGGAGGCAGGGCAGCTGACCTTGGACCCAAAAGTCCCAGGCTCGATCCCCAGCCGTTCCCACATGTCGTGGTGTCTCTGAGCAAGACACCTAATCCCCCAATTGCTCCCCGGGTGCTTACATAGTTGCCCACCTCTCCAACTGGGTGCATCCCAGGTGTGATGGGTTAAATGCAGAGAACCAAGTTCACCATTGTATGAGAACATACAATGATGACAACACAACACTTTAATGTGGTACACGAGATGACACTAAACTATGTACACAAGTAGTAGTAGTATTTTAAAATATTTTAGTATTAATGAAAACATTATGTACAGTATTGTACGTCCACAAAACTCAATAGAGTGAGTTTGTGCAAGTCCAACTGCGAAGTAGTGAGGGACTACTGTATTCCCAGTTTAGTGAGACCGAAGGTGAAAGCACCGATCATTGTACAGGTCCTGAGTGAGCAGCGGTGCAGCTCTGAGCCCCTCATCGTTACAAAGCGCTCAGGCTGTCAGCATCAGATACCTAGTTTTTATATATGCAAGATACTTTTTTTATGTATGTACATTATTTTTACTGAATAGACTCTAGTCATCCCAGCTGCAGTCTGAGCGAACACACTCAGCGCTGCAGATGAACCCCGCATGCACACACATCTCACTCTGACGGAGCGTTCTCCCTTTATCCAAGGAGGGCACTCCAACAAAACCGCATTACCTATAGAGGTCATGGTTACAATAAATTAAATGTCTGTACGTGTCCACACATGATCGATTCACCAAAGCCTATAATCTCACACCACGCCCCCAACCTCACGGTGACCTGTGTATCTAAAACTTGATGTACTACTGTGTTCGGAGCATCATTATTTCAGACATGTCCAACTTACACACGTGATCAAACTGCTGGTTTCTACTCGAGAAGAGAGATCGCCCCCGTAGTTTGAACTGAACAATATTGACACTAAAGACTTAACATTTGTTTGCCCCAGATTGAAGTAACGGCGTCTTCATTTACCTTTAATTACTTTGATTAAAACTCAAAATTTACCTTTAATTACTTTGATTAAAACTCATAATTTACCTTTAATTACTTTGATTAAAACTCATGATGTTCTCCGAGTGTCAGTTTCAAGCATAGTTTATCATCATTACACATTTCAATTCTAAATGGTGTTATAGCAACATTAAGGTTGTTTCTGTTTAAACGTGTTTGTTCATATTTAGAACCATATTATGATTTATCTGTGAACAGTTAAATGACAAAATGAGCTGAAATCCTGTAAATGTAATTGCTTTGAATTAAAGTTTTTAAAGTAGAAATCTGTCAGTCTGACAAATAAAATTGCAATTTTAAGTTATTTAGAGATGTCCAAAGGACTTCCTGTGCGTTAATTTAAAAATATATATTTGACAACCCCCCCACCCCAGTTAAAAATACATTAAAGTAAACCATGTTTTTCAACACCTGGCAACATTGCACGTTATGGATAGTTTGTTCTTACAACATTTACTTTTAAAATTTATTTATAAATACATTTGTCTATAAATGTCAACAAAAATCGGGTGTAAAGAACCGAAAGATGAGAGTTAAACGTGGCCCTTGAATACCAGAAATGCATCAGTAGTTCAGTGAGATCTGCTGTTGTTTGGTCTGTTTACATTTGATCTTGTGGCTTCGCTCTACTCCCGCACAGAATTACACTTGTAGCTCAGGAACCACATACTGAAAGTAGAAATCAACTGAAGTATCAATCATCTTACTAGTTGCCCACACCGACACTAGTATAATGCTGGTTGTAGAGTCAGTCAACAAGAACAAGGGAAATCTAAAAGTTTAAGGGACTAGAGTTGACTGGATTTCTGTTGTGTAGCTGAAGAAGTGGAGTTCTAAACTTTAAGCTGCATGATGTTGGTATAAATATATATTTGGGTGGATTCATGTGCCTCTACTTAAATTATACGTCGGATAAAATGCAATGAGTTTTAAAAAGCATTGGATAAGTAAAATGTAACATATGAAAGTGACGACCTACATCGGATTTGAAAAACAATCTGTCATGTGCAGACCTCTGCAGTGTCTCTATTGCCCTAAACACCTCCGTCTAATATCTGAAAGCACAGATGTGGCTAACCCTCCTTCCCTGATGTGCACCTGTGTGCTGCCAAGAAATCATGCAAACCTACAGCTGACATGTCTGTTCTGTAGCTCAACAATGTAATGAAGTTGTGACTCGGTTTGTCACAATGGGCCTTCTCAACAACCTTTTGAGCTGGAGTCATTTCCAACATCAACACATCTGTTCTGTGTGGTGAACATGTTGGTGAACGCAGACTGTTCAAACTGATTCATGGAAATGTCTTACCTGCATCACAGACATGAAAACAGTTATGAAGTCAAAATCAGCAGCAGCTGTCACTCAATTTGTAGAGCGAGATAACATGATACATGCTCAATAATCCAGGTAGAATAATCTAAACAAGTTACGTCAGGTCCTCTGGATGTTTGTATTTTGAACGTCCAGAGGACCTGACGTAACTTTAGAGGTAACATACATTTTCAAGAATCAAAGAGGGACGACTAACTGTGCATTTCTTTGAAATTTAACAAGATAAGCACCTAAAACAGTTATATTTGCTCAAATTATAGCAAAGGTGTGTCTCAGTCAAACTTTTACTTAATAAATGCACTTCATTGGTCAAATTAGCTGCATTTCGCCGGGGAGGTGCCACGAAATGAAGCTGTTTTACGGTTGCTCCAGGCAAGCTGGACCAAGCCGATTGTGTCAATAGCCACTTTTACAATGGCGTGCCACACTACTTGATTGCCATCTAGTGGCTGAAAATGGTAGTGTTCGATATTTTCCATGTCAGAATGAATGCCATTTCAGCCAAAAATTGGTTTGGGGGAAAAAACAAGTCGTTTCGGTGTATAAGTCGCAGGACATGTAAATTATGCAAAACACTGCTACTTACAGGCTGAATAATACAGTATATTTTACCCTTCTTGGCAATTGATACAAAATACAGTTCCAAATTTTAAAGAAGTTAAACAAGGGTTCAAGGTCCCCACAACTCTCGACTAGTTGGAAAGAAAACTTTATTGCACAAAATTACAAACCTGTTCAGAAGTTTAGCAACAAAACGGTTGCAGCAGTCTGGCTTTAACCGGTCAGTGCGTTACGAAGTGGACTGTCCAGTTTTACTACGATCAGATACTAATGTGAGCGGTGGAGTAACACTTAGGTTTTGATTTGTTTTTCTCAGGAGCGTGCTGGCCGTCACTGTGGAGCCCTGCGAGTGCTCAATTCCTACTGGGTGGGTGAGGACTCCACCTACAAGTTTTTTGAGGTGATCCTGATTGATCCCTTCCACAAGGCCGTCAGACGCAACCCCGACACCCAGTGGATCACAAGAGCTGTGCACAAGCACAGAGAGATGCGTGGCCTAACGTCTGCAGGGAAGAAAAGCCGTGGTCTCGGTAAGGGCCACAAGTTCCACAAGACCATCGGAGGCTCCCGCCGTGCTTCCTGGAAGAGGCGCAACACCCTGCAGCTGCACCGTTATCGATAGAGCACGCCACATGTCTACATTAATACAAATAAAAATGTCCCTTTTTATGGTGATGATCTTGTCTGCTGTCATTATTTTCTCAACAAGGTGACTACAGTCTGAAAACAAAACAAAAAAAATGTGGAGCTATGCTGTGGGAAAAGTCAGGATTTTTATTGGCTTAAATGTTTTCAGGTACACAAGTCGGGGAGTTAAAAATGCCTACGTTTTCAAAATTCACTGACCCTTTTTCTGAAATGTAAAAGAATCCAAAATAAACCCAACTTTTTTTAATATAGATAAATATATATATTTATATCTAATCTATTAACCCTTATGGCACATTAATGTGTACATTGAACTTGTTTTCCTATTTTTGATTTTTAGATCGATCAGTTTAAAATCAGCGCTTTGTATAAAATTTGTCCAGGAAGTTCAGATTTCTTGATCTTTTATATTGCAGGGTACATTTAATAAATTTACACCATGCATGCAGTTCCTTTGGCCCGTTTTGGTCCCAGATGTTCAGTGCCTTGTGAAAGTATTCGGCCCCCTTGAACTTTTCAACCTTTTGCCACATGTCAAGCTTCAAACATAAAGATATAAAATTTGAATTTTTTGTGAAGAATCAACAACAAGTGGGACACAATCGTGAAGTTGAATGAAATTTATTGGATGCGTCAAACTTTAATAAACTGAAAAGTGGGGCATGCAATATTATTGGGCCCCTTTACTTTCAGTGCAGCAAACTCACTCCAGAAGTTCAGTGAGGATCTATGAATGATCCAATGTTGTCCCAAATGACTGATGATGATAAATAGAATCCACCTCTGTGTAATCAAGTCTGTATAAATGCACCTGCTCTGTGACAGTCTCAGGGTTCTGTTCAAAGCGCAGAGAGCATCATGAAGACCAAGGAACACACCAGGCAGGTCCGAGATACTGTTGTGGAGAAGTTTAAAGACGGATTTGGATTTAAAAATATTTCCCAAGCTTTAAACATCCCAAGGATCACTGTGCAAGTAATCATATTGAAATGGAAGGAGTATCAGACCACTGCAAATCTACCAAGACCCGGCCGTCCATCTAAACTTTCATCTCCAACAAGGAGAAGACTGATCAGAGATGCAGCCAAGAGGCCCATGATCACTCTGGATGAACTGCAGAGATCTATAGCTGAGGTGGGACAGTCTGTCCATAGGACAACAATCAGTTGTACACTGCACAAATCTGGCCTTTATGGAAGAGTGGCAAGAAGAAAGCCATTTCTCAAAGATATCCATAAAAAGTGTTGTTTAAAGTTTGACACAAGCACCTGGGAGAAACCAAACATGTGGAAGAAGGTGCTCTGGTCACATGAAACCAAAATCGAACTGTTTGGCCACAATGTGAAACGATATGTTTGGCGTAAAAGCAACACAGCTCATCACCCTGAACACACCATCACCACTGTCAAACATGGTGGTGGTAGCATCGTGGTTTGGGCCTGTTTTTTGTCAGCAGGGACAGGGAAGATGGACCAATGACCATAGAAAGGTGCGCACTCCAGCCATGAAGTTGGCGTGGGGCTGCACACATTTCTACGATCATTTCTGCTGAGACTTCTGAAGTTTTGCGTGAAAATGGTGTACTTTATACTTGAGGCCCCATCACCTGCGGCTCTTTCAGTGGAAGTACCAAGCAGCTAACGTAGTAAAAACAATACTAACATTAGTCATTGAAACAATAGCAATAAAGTTAACATTCAATAAAGTTAGCTTAATTTAATGTGGATCAGACAACTGCAATGTGGACACGGTGAGCAGAACTGCAGGCACAGCCTCCAGCCCAATGATGAAAGTGAGATCATGAACATTCATATCTACAAGATACACATGTAAACACTGGAGGTGGATGACGAGGTGATGGATTTGCTGCGACAGTTTATCTGACTACAGACCTTTTCTAAAAAATAAGAATATCAAGGAAAAGTTGTTGAACTTCCATAATTCCATTCAAAAAGTGAATCTAGATGATAGATTCAGGGCCCACGATTTAAACGATTTCAAGTATTTGTTTATTTTTACATAATTTGGGCTTCCAGCTCATGAAACCCACGAAAACATGATTTCAAAAAATTAGAATAGTGTGGAGAAAATCAGCCACACTACTCAGTTTTTGCAGAAAAAAAGAAAGAAAGAAATTAGGATCACAACAAATCAATCTAAATATGGTACTTTCAAAACTATATGTCAATCTTCAATACTTGGTTGTGAATCCCTTTGTCTTAATCACTGCCTCGATGTGACGTGGCATTCAAGCAATCAGCCTGTGGCATTGACTGGGAGTTATGGAAACCCAGATTTCCTTGATGCTCGATGTCAGCTCTTTGTTGTTGGGTCTGGTGCCCCTCCCTCATGTTCCTCTTGAGAATACTCTATAGATTCTCAATGGGGTTTAGGTCCAGTGAGTTGGCTGGCCAGTCCAACACTGTGGCATGGACATCAAACCAGGTTTTGGTGCTTCTGGCGGCATGGGCAGGGGCCAGGTCCTGCTGGAAGATGAAATCTGCATCTCCATACAGATTCTCAGCAGAAGAAATCATGAAGTCCTCTAAAATATTCTGGTAGTCTGTTGCAGTGACCTTGGATTTAAGAAAGCAGAGTTTACAAACATCTGCACTGGACATTGCACCTCAAATCATGACTGACTGTGGATATTTCACACTGGACCTCAAGCAGTATGGGCTCTGTTCCTCACCCTTCTTCCTTCAAACCTTTGGACCTTGATTTCTGAATGAAAGACACACTTTACTTTCATCGGAAAAGAGGACAGAGGAACCCAGCAGTTGTAGTCCATCTCCAGGATGCGTCTGAATGTGGTGGTTTTTGAAGCTGTGACTCCCGCCTCATTCCACTCTTCCTGGATCTCTGCCAGATTCTGGGATCTTCACTGTTTGATAATCTGCTGAAGCCCACGGTCATCTCTTTTGATGGTGCATCTTCTCCTGCCACATTTTGCCCTTCCACTAGACTTTCCATTGATATGCTTGGACACAGCACTCTGTGAACAGCCAGCCTCCTTAGCTATGAACTTTTGTGGCTTACCATCCTATGGAGGGTATCAGTGATGGTCTTCTGGCCAGTTATGTCTGCAGTCTTCACCATATTGAACTGAACTGAGGCAACTGAACCAAACTGAAGCAATTTAATGACACCTGGGGAAACCTGTGCAGGTGCTTTGAGTTTAGTAGATGATAAGTGTGTCACACCAAGTTTAAAACATTCATGCCCTGCAACATTTGGGCTGATTTCTCCACAGTATTCTAAATTTTTGAAATCCTGTTTTTGTGGGTTTCATGAGCTGGAAGCCCAAATTATGTAAAAATAAACAAATAAATACTTGAAATCATTTAAAATGTGGGCCCTGAATCTATAATCTATTAAATATTAACTTTTTGAATGGAATTATGGAAGTTAAACAACTTTTCCACGATATTCTATTTTTTTAGAACTAGTCTGTAGATCATTCTGATGAATGATTGTTCTATGGACTACAAAATATACGTACTTGCTAGAAGTGCACAATCCCAAGAGGTTACAGATCCGTCTCTTGTCCTGCATACTGTATTTATCACCACCTGCTGATAGTCATGTAAGATAGTTGCCAGTTCTAAATAAAGCAACTAAACCAAAGTATGAACTCCTCACTCATTTTGACATGATGTCAGAAGAGGGTTAGGGTTAGTCTGTGACATAAATAATGACAGCATAAGAACGGCCCTGCTATGTGACAGTGACCTCACTTTCCAAACACATTCCCATCTGTCGTATTTATGAGATGACTGAATACAAAAGCCCTCACACAACAGACACCCAGTGGATGCAGTATAGACAAGCTCCACTAGAGGGCACTCCAGGACCACTGAGTCAAGTTGTGTGCAAGGTTAACACAAGGTCAACAGTACAATGAAATGCTCAGGATGAGAAGAACTGATTTGACTCGTTAAAAAAAAAAAAGTACCAAAAAGTGAGAAAATAATTATATTTATAAGGTCCTAAAGAGAGATAGTAAACAACAACATGGTGGAATATAACAGTGCAAGCAGGATACATTTATATGAATAAGTATTTCAAGGTAGTAATATAAGATAAAATGCACATGATATATATATAGATATGTATTGCACATAAGGAACATATACAGGTTGTGTGGTTATTGCACAGGTGGTGAGCAACACTGAGATTGAATTGCGATGGTAAGGTAGATACATAGATACTGTATCATACATGATACAGCCACATAGTGCAGCAGCAATAAACAAACATATATTCGCTGTCACAAGCTAATATTAGTAATAGTAGATGTGGCTTGGTACAATGTTATTGCCCGTTGTTCAGTTTTATTATCAAGAGTTCAGTAATCTGACAGCTTGTGGATAATAGCTGTCTTTTAGTCTTTTCGTACGTGATGACAGGCTCCTGTATCATTTGCCAGAAGGTATTAGATGGAAGAGTCCTTGTGCTGGGTGGGTGTGGTCCTTAATGATGCCGCGTGCTTTACGCAGACATCGGCTGTGGTAGATGTCCTGGATGGTGTGGCGACTGCTACCAGCGATGTCCTCTGCTGTTTGCACCACCCTCTGCAGTGCTTTCTGACTGGTGCAGTTCCTGTACCACCCTGAGATGCAGCCTGTCAGCAGGCTCTCAGTGATGCACCTATAGAAGTTTGTGAGAATGCTGGTGTTTGTACCAAACTTCTTTAGTCTTCTTATATACCGTAGTGTCTTATGAATAGTCTTCAATGCCGTGTTCCCTCAAAATAAACATTGCAAATAATTTTAATTTCTAATTTCAGAGATTTATCAAACCCTGTGACTGACGTGTTTTTCCTAAAAAATCCCACCTTTTTTTTTTTTTCCAACTGGATGGACCTTTTGTTTATTAACCTTTATTATCCCACTGAGATCACATATCTCTTTTGCAAGGGAGGCCTGGACCTGAAGGCAGACTAACATGAATGTTTTTTATTTTGTGGGAGGAAACCAAAGTACCCGGAGAAAGCCCATGCAAGCATGAGAAGAACATGCAAACTCTGC